CAAAAGCGATTCGTTGGCATCAAACCCCCATCCGTTTTCTGATTCGTTTGCTGTTTTGTTATTACGATTCCGTGAGCCGTCTAGGCACCTTCCGTGGAGAGTTTGCCGTTCTTAAATGATCACACAACCTTCTTGGCCTTATTGGCCCTGCCGTAACTACTCTTAAAACTGGGTATGGCTTTGATTTCCACCATTTTCTTTCTTGTCCAGATCGCTGATCTTACTAGCCACCTGCACACTAATAGCTTCTGACATTTCTGTGGCTCCTTTTGTATGTGTGTGTGTGTACTCGCCTAATTGTGGTTGCAGGGGGGTCGAGTCTCAGATCCTTGCACCGCGCCTCTGCTGGTCGCTACTAGTTTCAATCTCCTGGCAGCATGAGTTCGTATCATACCTATTCTTTAAAGTTTGTATGGATTCTCCCTCTACCACCTCGCTGTCTTAGGTCGTTCCTCGTCCTGACCATTCTAAGGCTAAAGAAGTATTTCCTAACATCCCTGTGACTCGTCTGCACTCCTAGCTTCCAGCTGTGCCCTCGTGTGCCTGAGATCCGCCTCTCAAACAGACGCATCTTGTCCATTCTGTCAATTCCTCTCATTACTTTGTACGTCTCAATCATATCATCTTTGCTTCTCATGTCCTCCAGTGGCGTCAGATCTTGCTGTTCATCTAATAGTTGACTTACCCCTCAGCTCTGGGACTTGTTTCGTTGCAAATATTTACACTTTTTCTAGCCTCTTTACATGATGTCTCTCTTGTTTTTAATGGTTGGACTACATTATTTGTTTTCTTCCAAGCCTCTGGCAGTTGCCCTGCTTCAGTAAGTTTGTTGAAGATCGGGCCTAGAGGTTCACACAATTCCTCTGCTCCCTCTTGCAGAACCCAAGGAGAGATTTTTGTCTGGTCCAGTTGCCTTCTGGTTCACTCAGTATTTTCTTCACCACTCCTCCTGATGTTTATATTACGTCCAGTACTCGTTGGTGCACTCTCTTTGACTCTCTGGCAGTATTCCTGATTCCACTGAGAATACTTTCCTAAACCTTTTGTTCAGCTCCTCGCAGACGTCCTGGTCATTCCTAGTGAAGTCCCCTCCTTCCTTCTTCATACTTATTACCTAGTCCCTCAAGTGGTCATCTCTCTGACGTGGCTGTACATCAACCTTGACTCAAATTTGACTTCTGATGCTGTCATTCTCAAATTGCCATTCACCCTCTCTTCTTACCCACATATATTAATTTCTTGTTCTTCTGCTTGCTTCCCCATTCTCTGGCGTCCTTTGCTTCCTGTATATCTTCCATGCTCTCGTACTTCTATCTTGTACTTTCCCCCACCTCTGTCTCTTCTGAAAATGAATTTCTCCTAAATACTCCATCATTTCATTTGCTTCCTTTCCTTCTAGTTTCCTTTCCCATAAGTGTGTGTGTGTGTGTGTGTGTGTGTGTGTGTGTGTGTGTGTGTGTGTGTGTGTGTGTGTGTGTGTGTGTTTGGGCCGTGTGCAGCCTAAACATTTTTACCTTTAAAATCGAAGACGTAATTTTTTACGTGTTTTTTTAACGTATTTTTAGTTTACACTCCAACGAAAAATTTTCGCTTTTTTTTTTTTTTTTTTTTTTTTTTTTTTTTTTTTTTTTTTTTTTTTTTTTTTAACTCGCAGCCCTTTTCGCCAGCGATGTTTTGCTTATAGAATATAAACCACAGTTTGATGACTGTAGCAAGTCACTATTAACCCTCAACTTAGATACAAACTCTAGACGATGTTTCAGTCCTCCCTCATCCATTACATAGCGACTCGATAATAGACCGAGCGAAACGTCGTCTAAGCTTTCCTCCAAATTCCTGGTTAACAGTCAAATATCTTAGATTATTATTATTGAAAAAAAAGGTACACAACTTCACCCTTTACCCAAAAAAGTCGTTTAAAATATGGCGGAGGTGCTGTAATTAAGTGTGTCATAGTGAGAAGCGTGTGTATTTTGCCTTTAATTACTATAGTGACGTCCCTGGCCAACCAGACCTGCTACAATGACCCTAACTAGTAGAGGTAATTACCTCCCTGGTGTATGTGTGTGTGTGTGTGTGTGTGTGTGTGAAAGTCTAGTACTCTAGTTAATAATAATTATAATTATCTTATTTCTACAAGTACATGATACAACTTATACAGACCATAGCTAACATCAGCGACATAGTGGTTGTGCAGAGCATTTCCTGCAACTTAGGTTATTTTTGTCCCCCAGGATGCGACCCACACCAGTCGGCTAGCACCCAGGTACCTATTTACTTCTAGGTGAACCGGGACAGCAGGTGTCTTAAGGAAACACGCTCAAAGTTTCCACCCGTAACGGGGATCGAACCACGGACTTCAGAGTTACCGGTCTTAGTAGTTTAACCATCAACTGAGGGAGAAAGTATTGGATACACTTAGGACTCCTTTCGGTCCTGGGACCTTGACCACTTGACCAGTAAAGACCAGGACCAAAAGGTCTTCAATAAATAATAACAATAATAATGATAATCTTTATTTCTACATGTACGAGGTATACAGACCATACTATATAGAAAGGCCCTTGTTATGCAGAACATTTCGGGCAGATTAAGTAAATTTTGCCCCAGGATGCGACCCACACGAGTCGACTAACACCCAGGTACCTATTTTACTGCTAGGTAAACAGGAACAGCAGGTGTTTTAAGGAAACACGCCCAAAGTCTCCACCCTTACCGGGGTGTATGTATTCTTTAAATTCTTAAAGATGCCGACCTTTACTGCCTTCTTGTTACCGTCTTGCCCTCAGTCAACTAGTCTACTTCATCGCTCAACCCTACTGGCCTTCTTGGTAGTCTTTTGTTGTTTGGTTTATTGAGTTTCAAGACTATCGGCTACACGTGGGTCACGGTGCCCGAGACACACTAGCAGAAAATAAAAAATGAAAATTTCTGGAAAAATAAGCGATTAAAATTCCCTTAGTGACAAACCTTCCAGTTCTAAAGCATTCCCTTTAAATATCTAAGAGTAAAGTTTTACTATTTATAACCATGATGGGGGGAGTTGACCCCCTGAAACACCCTCCAGGTATACTCCAGGTATGATAAATTAGACACATGTGCAACTCTTGGGTATCTTTATTGAGGAAACGTTTCGCCACACAGTGGCTTCATCAGTCCATACGTAGGAGAAGCTTGAAGAACAGGAGGAGAATGAGGTAATCAGTCCCTCAACCTTGAGTCGATGTGTTCAGTCCATCAATCTTGAATAGAATATTCAGTATTCATCTACAAATACTCCAGGTATAACATTGCCACCGAGCTGAAGTCAACAGAATTATGTAAATATTGATCTATGATTTTTTTTATTTACATTTGTTTTACATGTAAATGTTCATTTGTGAAAACAAGACAATGTGTACAGACTGTTGACCACCTGTCAGGGTTTCTTCAGTCTCTAAAATACAGGTCAGTGTCTGAATGTATGTACACTGACATGCACACACACACGAACACCATCACTGGTGTACAGTATTGACAACTTGATGAATAAGACACGTGCAGCACCTGGGTATCTTGATTGACGAGACTTTTCGCCTGCGTAGTAGGATTTTTTTTTTCAATCTAATACTTAAGTCCCCCTCAGGGAAGGTTCCTTGATGTTGGTGAGGGGCTCTTGATATAGGGAATTGGATCTGTGCTCCAGTCCCCCGAATTAAGCCTGAATGCCTTCCACATCCCCCCCAGGCGCTGTATAATCCTACGGGTTTAGCACTTCCTCTTGATTATGATTATAATAATAATAATAATAATAATAATAATACTTAAGTCATTTATATACCGTACACAGTGGAAGAAATGGAAAGGTCATTTTAAGGTGTTCAGTCTCTTGATACAGTTGGTGTTCAGTTTCTTTGCTCTGATAGGTGATCATTCCTTTTGCTTTAATAGCTGTTCAGTCTATTAGCGTTGATCCGAGGAAAGGGAATGCAGCTTGTATCTCTTTCTGCTAAGTAGACCATCCCCAGACTGACACGATAACCATTTATTATCTTGGGAAAGACTAAATCCGTATGGGCCATGCCGCTCCCGGAACAGGATGCAGTCACGTTTGATCCGAGGACTGGGAGAGTAGCCTCGCTAACCTATTAGGCTTTAAAACCTGTTTATTATGGTAGTGAAAGAAACGTTCACTGTTGCAAAGGTTAAATCTCTCACCTGAAGCCTCGCTTACACCTCTTGATTGATAGTGTGTGTGTGTGTGTGTGTGTGTGTGTGTGTGTGTGTGTGAGTGTGAGTGTGTGTGTGTGTGTGTGTGTGTGTGTGTGTGTGTGTGTGTGTGTGTGTGTTGTGTGTGTGGTGTGAGTGTGTGTGTGTGTGTGTGTGTGTGTGTGTGTGTGTGTGTGTGATGTATGTGTGTGTGTGTGTGTGTGTGTGTGTGTGTGTGGTGTGAGTGTGTGTGTGTTGTGTGTGTGTGTGTGTGTGTGTGTGTGTGTGTGTGTGTGTGTGTGTGTGTGTGTGTGTGTGTGTGTGACATGTTTGCTATTATTTTTCTTGGGGAGAAGCGCTATACCCGTAGGAGTTATATAGAGCCTGAGGAATGGCAGCAACTAGGTTTGATCTTATTATGGGGAGGGAAGCTCAGATTCGTTGAATATGTTGTGGATGTACGTGTTGTGTGTGTATAAACATATGTTATGGCTGTATAAACATGTGTTATGGCTGTATAAACATGTGTTATGGCTGTATAAACATGTGTTATGGCTGTATAAACATGTGTTATGGCTGTTAAATATTAGTTGTGTATGGTGTATAGCATAACAACAATGCTGTGACCTGAACAATGGCAGTTAATTAAGGTTTTGTTAACAAGAGTCAGCAGCATGTTTGTGATGCATTCATTTCACTGTTGGGGTGAGAGGGAAGCGGTAAATACGTAGGGGTCATGTGGCTCCTTGGAGGAGTGGGAGGCACTCAGGTTCGATCTCGAAGAAAGGGACGGGAGCTACAGTTAACGTGGA